TGTGTCTGTGTGTGTCTGTGTGTCGTTTGTTTGTTTGGCCATGGGCACTGGGGCAAACCAGCGTATCCGAAATTGTCTCCTCCAGGTTGATTTGTTTGTTGAAAGGAGAGCAGAATGGAAAAGAGGACGAAGCCTTGGACACGGCCGTGAGTGCTCATTCAGCACCTCGGTGATGTGATCCTTCCATGTCGGCTGCGGATGGTCCAGTGGAAAGGTGAACCAGGTGAAGGTGTCAAATGCCCCGGCACTCCCCAAAAATTAAGACGAGTGGAAAGATCCGGTTACCTGACAGAACGCGGGCACAGAGCACACGCTTTGGGCACCAATTTTCTCTAGCATCCTGGCTGGAAGTCAAATGTGATGGCCGGCCCAATTCATCCATATAACACGGGAACAACGTGAGCCGTTGTTTACTGAACAACAACCAACAGTTTTAGAGGGGTCTCCTTTGGGGTACCCTCCCTTTTTCGGGGGGTGTACACCCCTCCATGGGGCGGGGTTACAGTACACACCTGGTATGTGCTTGTTGAGGGACCTCACCACTTGTACCTAGGTTTTCCAGTAGTGCCCTTTTACCATTTGTTGCTTTTTTTGGGAGGGTTCCCCTACTAAAATAGACTACAGAAAGGAAAGGGTACCCTTGTTCTAACCTAGGTACGTTGTTACTGGAGGACCTAGGTACCTTGTTGGGGTTCCATGTCACTCCGGGAGCATCGCGGCAGGCAGCCTCCACTGGCTGCTGGCAGAGCGCGAGCGGCTGCAAGCAGAGGTCCAGGAGTCCTTGAGGGTTGGGAGGGTGGCCCTATCTCTGAAAGCTGGGTCTTCCGAACCTTCCATTGGCTGAAATGAATCTTCTGGTTTTTCCCCTCCCTGTTGGCTTCAAAGGGAATCGATTTCACTTCTGGACAGTTTTTTTTTCCCAGGTGGCTTAAGCAAATGGCAGTTCCTTTTTCAGGACACCCTTTCGGGAAACCAACAACAGCACCCACCCATTTGGCGGGTTCCCATCAAAAACGACAGGCCCACGAATTTACCGCTGTTGTTCAGACAACGGTTGTTTGGGTTTCTTTTTAAGAAAGCAGCTACAGGCACACGGTGCAGGACAATTTTGCAAGGGTGCAGAGCCTAGCGCCCCAAGCCAGAATCTGCTCAAGCCACACTTCGCTTTTTTTTTCCCCGAAATCCGCGGAGTGCCCAAAGCAGATTGCCCCCGAAAAATTGGCGGCGAGATTTGTGGTTTGCAACCCGGAGGCCCGGATAGTCGACAGCCCGGGGTACGCGGGCTGCACTTAAGAAACCAAATTGGTCCGAAGCCGCCAAGGTGAATGGTTTGCCTTCTTCACTGAGATGAATATTTGCAGCTTTCCTGGTGTAGAATCACTTTCAGAGGCTGATCATTTCAGTGGAGAAGGCAAACTCTGCCAAGATGTCCATTGTGCTTGAAGAGAAGAAGGATTCCAAGGCGCAGCCTTTCCATAAGCAAGGGACACCCTCAATTTGGCTGTGGCTCAAAAAATGGTCCCCAAAATGGCACCCTTGGCAAGTGGAACCAAAGACTAAAACCTTCGTAACCCTACCACACCTGTTTGGCTTCAGGAGATGCCACATGCAAGGGGTCGATGATGGACTTCGCCAAATGCTTTCGACGTGGGCTTCAATTTGTTTGAACCCCTGTCACTCGCAGTCAAGCGACCTACTCTAGCGATTATGCGGGTGGTCAATCCTGAGTTGGGGTTTGGGAAAAACCGGAAACCATCTAAAGCCAGGGTTGTGGGATCAAGGGGTTTATCCCCACTTCTGTGATACAAGGGAATCCCGCGGGGTAGTCTTTGGGGAACCTTTTTGTTGTATCACAGAAGTGGTCATTTCCCACAGCCCTGTCCAAAGCGGGCCGTTGGAGGCAACCCAAGCCATTACCCTCCTGTGACGTTTATCGTCAGCTCGGGGCCAGAAGTTCGAAGATCTGGCAGCAAATTTCGGGGTGCCAGAGGCAACCTCCCAAGCAATGCCCACGACATGCGACAAACAAAGCAAGCATAGGTGTCCTTTTTGGGTGGTTTGGTTAAAACATGGGCCCTGGTTTTCCTGGTGGTTCAATCATCTACCGGGGAAGTCCATCTATCCCATCCGAGGAGGCAGAGCAGGCCCCGGACCCCGGCGCGGCAGCGGTGGGCGCGCTGAAGGTCGGAAAACCAACCCGCGGAAGGACAGGTGTCTGGGACTTGTGTAAAACTATGGAAAATGGAACCCCATTCAGCCAAAAAGGGGGTGGCCTAGGAAAAGACATGCCCATGTTTTGCCTTTTTCCCCAGCTGGGGTCTGCTTTGGGATCTGCGCAGATAGGGCTCTGGTCAGGGTTCCGGATCCGGTAGCTGGGCTTATGCAAAAAAGGTTTGTTAATATGGGTGCGTCTTTTTCACATCACCCTTCGGTTTCCCTTTTGGTTTCCCTTTAAGTCAAAAACCGCCAAACACACGGTACCCTGAAGAAATACAAAAACCCATGTGGACCAGAATCCAAAGATATGCTGTTTGCGCCGAACGTTTGAGGGAAATTGAGGGACCCCCGAAGACTTGTTTTTGACAAGGGTGTCAAAAGGCAAAGCACGGAAGCAGCTCCAGTAGACTGAATGGGAGAGTCCAATTCCAAAGGAGGGTTGAATGTATGAGTCCACTGTTGCAAAGGAAACATGTGTTTTCGGGAGTTGTTCGCTTTCTCGGTCAAGAGTCCATTTTCTTTTGGATTCCCTTGGCCTGTCTGAAAAGGAGTAGTTTCCCCTTGTCCTTGACGTCAGGCTAAAAAAACCGGCCCTTACACGCGCCAGTTTCGAAGGCTGGTCACCTGCCGAAAGCCTGGAAGTGCGGCACGTGAGATTGCACGGGGGGAAGAGGAGTTGGAGGACGCGGCAAAGTGACTGACTTCTATATTCTGAGACCACCGTGTTTGGCTCGGTTTCAAGGAAAAGAAGCCAACAGGAAAGCCGTGTTTGGGTGCCCCCTATATGTTGGCACATTCCTTTTCTGGGTGTCTCTCAAAACAGATGACAAGCCGACAAGCCACTTTTTGGCTGGCATTTCAAAGCACACCCGAAGGACCGATTTTGCAATTTTCAGGTTGAGGCTTTGGTGTTTTCGATTTTTCGGTTTTTCGGTTTTTCGTGGGTTTAGCGGTTGGGTTTCCATTTCAAGCCACAAGTTACACTTGTAGCAGGGGATCTGAGGACACTCCGGGTTTGGGCCCCCGATTTTGAGAAGTTCCCAATCACCATATGGCGGTTGATCCAGTCAATATTCCATTTCGGGCCCCCAAATGACCATGGGTATTTTTTCCCATTTAGAGGGAGGTATCATCTTTTTCGTGGTCTTCCTCCCATGTTCATCGGGCCTTTTGATCAACCCCCATATGAGCCACAATCAAAACACGGGTAGATGAAGGTTAGTAAGGGACAATCCCAACCATAGATAGCTGCGCCTGCCTTCTTGATGCTTTACATGGTTCTGGGTCGAGCATCTTAGTATCGGGTTTTGATTATGACTCATGTTGGGAACCCAGACGTCTCCGCCTCGCAGCCAGGGCAAGCTGGCCTCGGTGCTGGAGGAGGCAGTGGGTACCCAACTGGCTTCAGCTTGTTTCCTTGCACGACATGCGACATCACTACGGAAGGACTTCTTTTGCGGACGAATGATTATTTTTCTTCTCCTTTGGTTGATTTTCAAGCTTATCCATGGTCATGTTTGGTCCAGGAATACTGATCGGAGACCCCAAAATGGTTGGTTCCCTGATCGTCCTTTATCTCAAAGGGTTTCAACTAGGCCAAAGGGAACATCTGGTATGTGGTAGTTAGGGGGGAATTCAGAGCATCTCAGCTTGTTTGGTTTGGTGGTTCATTGCCATCTTTCTGGGTGGTTTCCCTACGGGTTGCCTCCCCGCGGAGACTCGTCCAGCTTCTTCCGCAGGCTTGGCAGGGCCTGCAGGAGACCGAAAGGCGAAGGAGAGCGGTGCAGGAGGAGCTGGAGCAGAAGGAAAGGGCCGGGGCCCGAACCAACGGCGAGCGTGGATGATGTGTTGGTCGGCAACCAGTTGCAACCAGTGGATTCCGCCCCTTCTTTCAGAGTATTTTTAGGGTTTTGGGTTCCCGTTTAAACTGAATCAACCAAAGGAGGATGCCCTTTTTGCCCCGGGGCATGTGGGCTGGCAAAGGGAGAGATGTTTACCCTTCAGTGTTGATCATCTTTGAGGCTTGCAACTGTTTCACGGCGCTTCGCCGAGGGAGCCAACAAAAAGGTCAATGGCGAGCCAAAGTTTCTTTGGCCTTTCAGACATGGCACTGAGCTACCTGGCGAGGATCCACTGAGAAACCCAAGTTCTGACCATTTGGGTCTGTGGTTTTTGAGGGTGCTTCTGGAGTGGCGTTAAAATCCTATTTTTGGGGGTGCCCTGAAAATGACACCGGTGGTTGCCCTGCAGCCGTGGCTGGGCTGTGGTTTGAACCACTTCCCTCTGCTCAAATTTGGAAGACAAAAGATCCGAATCTGGGCAAGCTATGTGCTTGACTGCTATTGAGGTGGATCTTTAGACTTTTTGGGAAATACAGCTGTTTTCCACTCAATCCCCAAAAAGTTAAACTTTTTGCAGGGGGGTCAACAGCAACCGAGTGTGAACGTCTGTGACTTGGGGGATTCAGTAGTTCCGGTTCGGGCATTGTATAGAATGGTTTGCCCCGATGTTTCTGGACCAATGGATTCGCTGAAGGCCCGCTGCTCTCACAACAAGGATCTCAAAGAGCTGGGAGCTGTCGAGTCATTTCCCTCAGAACCATTTCGGGGTTCCTCCGAAATGGATTTCGGCCTTCCTTTTGGTTTGCCCTGTGCACCCCCCGAAAAGAGGTACTCCTCAAAAAGAGACAGACCCATTTGGGCTGTCTGAAATTTGGCGATTGGTCCTCCCCCAAGAGGAGTGCGTGCCGACATGCCAGCCCAGGCGCTCGAGCTTGCGCGGAATCAGGAGAAGTGACTTGCCAAAAGGGCCGATGTGGTTTTCAGAGGTACCCTTCTAAAGATTGGTGTAAGTGGGAATAAGAAAAAGAATGGGTGGGTTCCCCCGCCAATGAAGATGGGTGTAAATGGACATCATATTGAAAAAAACACAAAACATGTGGCGGGTGTCCGAACCTGTTTTCACACATAGTTACCCAACGTGTGAGGGCAGTCGCAACACTTGGAACCAGGAGGGGAGGTCGAACATCTGAAGTCATTGTCCATCCCCATCTTACATAAGACTCATGATTAAGATGATCTTAGCCATGAAGCAGACTCCGATCCTTTCTTGAAGTGCTGTTTTTTTGTTGCAGTTCGTCCAGAGCAATCAGCCTTTCAGCTTGTTTAGGGGCAGTTCGTCACTTTTAGCAGGGGATCTGAAAACGGGCAGCCCAGTTTCGGCCCCAGAAGGTCTAAAGCCAGAGGAGCAGCTGGATGAGGTGGTCCTCGGGGAGATGCAACTTCAGCTGTGACCCCGGGCCAGATGCGCCGGAAGGAGGGCATCCGAGGGGAGGATTGATGATTTTGACCGGCAATTGGACACTAAATGGTTGTGGAGAGTTGTGTTTTTTTTTTCTTTCGGGCTGTTTGGTTGGGTCTTTGGACTTTTGAACTTTGGGAAGCAGTGGATTTTCCGTTGGACCCACGCGAAGTTGAACTTTTTGCGGAGGGGTCAACAGCAACCAAGTTTTGGATGGCCACTTTTTGCCAAGGGAGGGAGACTTTTTCATCGCGGGAATGTCACTATCACGGAAAGGGCTTCTCCCAATGATCGACGGGTAGGATAGGAAACTCGCCAGGAAGTCTGCCATACCCGGCACCCGGCGGCAGGTTTCCTTATACGTTCCGAGTCCGTGATTGATTGCCTTTCCATGAGCGGAAGGAAGGTCAGACGGCCAGCGGGAAGGGATTTTTTGATGCGTTGAGCGGCACAAGAGCTGATGCGCCACAATGGGTTTCAATCAAAATTCAGGCAAGATCTGGGTGCTGACAATGACGCTTTGTGAGTGGTCCAAACAGCAAAAAAGAAGGCCCTGCGTAATTGCCATTTCAATGTGTTGTTTCATTCCGTGTTGGGTTTGGCACGACAGATCCTCTAGATTCTTCTTGGACAGGTTGAAAGCTCGCAAAAAGGGATGCGACTTCACACTTGCCAGTTCACCCGCAAGGATCCAAGCACTTGGCCAGTTCAAGAAGCTCCGTCCCTCAACGGGTTCTAACCAAAGGGTTCCAACTGTTTGCAGCAAAGGGTAGACATGTGTTTCCACGATGGACGAAATCCTGCACCACGTTGAAACCATGGCTGAAACCATTGTTTGTTGGTGTTTGAGTTGGGAAATCGAGGCATTCCAGGTTTCTGAACGGTGGTGCATAAGAGGATTTCGCAACCATCCACAGTAGGGTTAACCCATTTGTTTTTAATCCATCTGCCTAATTTATGGCGAGCTCACCGACCGGGGGGTAAAACGAGCTCACCATGATAAAGATCCTTTACTTAGGGATGCCTTATTTCAGGTTTTGAATATATTGGAACACACAAGTTGTTGCTGCGCTTTTTATTTGGCCACCCCCAAACTCCCTAAAGGTCGAGCACTCACTACTCAGAGACCCGGATTCATTCGTTTGTTTTGAGCATATTGCAACATGTGCAGAATCCATTCCAGAGCTCCAAAGAGCCGAAGGAATCCCGGCTCTTGGCAGAGGTTGGCACGCTGCCGCGAGGAGGAGGCAGCAGCTGTCTTGCAGGCGACGCGCGATTACACCAGGTGGTCGATTAAACCCGGAAGCACCCTCTGCCAGACCCCCTTCCTAGGCGAAGTTCGGTCTAAAATTGGGGTTCTGGGGAAAAAGCGGCCCAGTTGAAGTCAACTGCCGAAAAAGAGTGTGCCATTTTTGGCCTACACTGGAGGTTTTGGTAGATTCGCTGGTGTCCCGGTGGTTTGAGGGAGATGTTCATAGATTGACACACCACCGAAGTGCTCCTTTGATTGAGGTGATGTCTAATTTGGAAGTGAAACGGGTGCTTTCAGGTTGAAACAATTCGCCTCCCCCACGAATTGGAGCAGCTGGCAGCTTTGCTTCAACGGGACCTTCTACCCTGCACCCGAATGCAGCGCAAACAAAGCTCAGAGCCGGCGCGAAAAAAAAATAAAATAAAGCGCCGCATGTGAGTGCAATCATACAACTGAGTTGGTAAGCATGCGCTGCGCTTGGACCACAGGAACGCTTTTGTTTGAAACGAGTACGAATAAGGAAGAAGGCGGACGCAACCAGAAAACACAGTACAAATTAGGGAGAAGTGTTGTAAGGGTTTGTGCTACAGGAATCTGCGTGGTCTGAAAGCTGAAACCATGCCACGATGATCGGGTAATCTCTTTGTATGCGTTTTTGGCCCGACATGCAGAGGGGCAGCCAATGGTGAACCGCCGTGTGCTTGGTACTTTATGGGAAAGCAAAAGGAAACCAACCAGTTTTGGGGGACCACTATTTTGCGAAATCCCCATATGCAAATCTAACTCAACTTGGACCATTGGATGTTTTTTTTTTTTTTCAGGAGGTTCGGTCCCTGCTGACTCACCCCTGGAAGCTCAAATGAGCGAACGGATCTTTTGACTACGGTGCAATTGAAACTACATGAGGAGCACCAAGGAAGGAGATCACCATTCACAACTCCACAGTGCGGCCGCATGGATCCTTGGTTTCATTCCATGACTCAGCATGTGGGGACGGCAATGTGCTTCACCTCAACAATAAGGCGTGCGAGTTTCGACGTGTTGCCCGTCGGCCTTTCGCCGTCCACCTGTTGGACTTTACAGGTGCCTTCATCATGTGAGCCAAATCCTAAGCCAGAACCCCAAAGGAACTCAGCCAAGCGGTTCACAAGACCTCCACTCCACAACATGAGCCAAAAATCAAAACCCGGTAGACAAAGGTCAGTAAGGGATAACCCCAACCATACATGGGTGCAGAATTCCACCTTCTTAATTCTTTACATGGTTCCGGGATTACGACCATTTTAGTACCGATCGGTTTTGAGTATGACTCACATGGCAACTCCAGGACGAGCCCCGTGTTCCACATGGAGAAACGAGCTGTGAATGGCTTGGACTTTCAAGCATAGGCGTTCTTTTGATCGGTGAGTTTGGGGTAAAAATCGATGGGTTCCACTGGCTTAGATGGGTTTTGTTACCCATTTGCCAGGGAAACCCATCTATTTTTAACCAAAAGCCCACCAATGTTTTCAAGCATCTCTCTTGGAGGTTCGGCCAAGTTCGGCATTTGGGTCCTCCACCAGGGCAACACACGACACACAACCCGGCCAACCGGAAACTAGATTGGACCGGCTGATACTGTGGCTGGACGAAATCTGGTTCGCACCACTTGGAAACCATGGTTGAAAGCGTTGTTCATTGCTACTTACAGGGGGTCCCCCGCCCCCGAAAAAAGAACACAGAATAACCATGAATGAGTAAAAGGTGTTTCTGCTTTTGGTTCCCCTTGAGCCCAGCCCCAAAAAAAGGTTTGTGTTTTTGTTGTATTTCCCTTTAACCCAGCACCAAATACATACATACATAAATGAATGAATAAACAAATAGATTAAAAAAGTAACTAAATACATATTTATAATGTGTTTGTGTTTTTTGTTGTACCAACTAAAAAGTGGAGCCAGCCATAAGCAGAGGTGCAGCAGAAGGCTTCGGAGGCCTCCTATGAGCGCCTGGAGGCGAGCGCTTGGGGGGCTGACGGCTCATGTCGTCCGTTTTTGGTGGGGATCCCAAAGAAAAACCAGATCCCGTTTTTTGGCGGGGATCCCGTTTTTGGTGGGAATAAACAGATGAACAGGGGTGTTGGAACTAGAGCTATTTTCTGCAGAGTCGTATGTGTTGTCTTCTTTTCTTCTTTTCTTGGGGGGGCGGGGGGAAAGGAGGCGGTACTGGTAAAGAATTCGCTCTGAGGGCGGTTGGCTCACTTTTTATTTTTCGGGGGGCAAATCCTCTTCAGAGTTGATCTGACGCCTCGTGCTCGTCAGGGTGGAGTTGGTTTTCTCAGTCGGAAGTATGTCAGACTCGGGCTGTCCTTCGGGAGAGCGGGTGCCCCTGAGCGGTAGACAGCCCCGGGCGATTTTGTTGAAGCTCCCGCAATCGCTGTTCAGAAAGGTTGGATGATGTTCTCCCCAAACGAGGACATCTTCGTTCTCCCCTCAACACGGATATGGATGACTTTCCCTGTTGTCAACCCCCATTTGACTGAATCTCACTGATCAACACCCTCAAAAACGGTTGGTGGACAGACATCCGCATGTTTTCAAATGATTACCACCAAAGACTCATACCCAATGTCAGGTTTTATTGTTTCCCCACTTCCGCACTTCATGCACATGTGCCCCAGTACATTCTTTCCCGGCTCCGCCACTCGGCTCCGCCACCAATTCGAGGCTGAGCGGGTGCAGCAGAGATCTGAGGAGGTGGAAGCACAGAGCGAGGCTTCGGGGGCGTTTGAAGGATTTGGGCGGCTGGGGAGGGGGGCTCCCAACATGCACCCCTCAAACACTGCTAAAAAGGATTCTTCCCGGACATATCAAAGCAAACTGCCATTACATGGTAGGGTTCCCCCATTTTGAGACAAACTGACTTGTTCTCGCTCAGAACCAAAATGCTGGGATTCAAAATGCCAAGTCTGCTCAAAAGCCCCGCACCATCCAAGAGGGTTCACTTCCTTCGATTTTCATCCTTCAAAAGCTGCTTCCCAGGTCATTGCGGGGGAACAATTGGGAACAAGTCTTGTTGTCGTTTTTCTTTGTTTGGGCCCGCAAGTATGCTGTAAACAATCCCAGTAATTATGCAACTCTGTGCACTCGATTGGGAATTCCACCGCTTTGCTGAAAATGCACTCTCCTGGAAACTCCTTCTTGTTTTTTTCTTCCGCTTTGCGGAAGTTTGAGGGTGTTGGCGGGAGTTTGCGGG